GAAGAGAGAGAGAGAGAGAGAGAGAGAGAGAGAGAGAGAGAGAGAGAGAGAGAGAGAGAGAGTAACGCTGCATAAAGGGCAAAGAAACCACATCAAATTACTGCAAAGAGAAGAACAATAACAAGAGCAGGAGGACGAACAAGAGCAGGAACATAAACTAGAGGAATATTCTTACATTAATAATTATAGACAATCATATTATGTGTGTATGTTAGATGTACATTATGTGGAAGAAAGGAGGTGTAAAAAAATAATATGGGCGTCGACATTTACGTTTTTTGTGTTAACGTGTGTGTGTTCATGTGTGTTTGTGTGTATGTGTGTGTATGTGTGTGTGTGTGTGTGTTTGTGTGTGTGAGAGAGAGAGAGAGAGTGAGTGAATGAGTGAGAGAAAGAGAGAGAGAGAGAGAGAGAGAGAGAGAGAGAGAGAGAGAGAGAGTGAGTGAGTGAGTGCGCAATAAAACACTAAGCAAATATCCCAGCACCGCAGTAGTTGAGATCTATCTTATCTTATCTTATCTTATCTTATCTTATCTTACCAGGATGGAACTTACAACAGTCTATTGTATCCAAACAAGAAGTCTTTTTCCTGCGCAACAATAGAAAACAGAAATCTTATTTTATTGGAGCCCCAATATCAAAAGAATGTCCTTTTTTTGGTAATACGATAAGCAAAGAAGTCCATTTTTGGTAATACGATAAGCAAAGAAGTCCTTTTTTGGTAATACGATAAACAAAGAAGTCCTTTTTTGGTAATACGATAAACAAAGAAGTCCTTTTTTGGTAATACGATAAACAAAGAAGTCCTTTTTTGGTAATATGATAAACAAAGAAGTCCTGTTTTTGTGCTCCAATATCAAAATAAGTCCTTTTTTTTTTGGTAATACATTACCAAAAGACGTCTTTTTTTTAGGTGCTCCAATATAAAAATGTCTTTTTTTTTGGGTGTCCCAATGTAAAAAAGAGTCCTTGTTTTTGGTGCTTTAATGTGAAAAAAAGTCCTTTTTTGGTGCTCAAATTTTAAAAAGTCCTTTTTTTGTGCTCCAAGAGAAAAAGAAATTTATAAACTTACCAATCGATAAAAAAGACTCTTTTTTTTTTTTTTTTGCTCGCTAATTTAATGAAAAAAAAAATTGTTTGCCCACCAAAGCATCTTCCAACTCGAGTTTTCCTCCAAAATAGCGTCTCCCAAGAACCGCTAGACGAGAGCGTTGCAACCTTTATATACCCAGCGGTGATCTGGGCCACTCTTAAACTCTTAAGAGATGAAAATTCTTCGCCCTCCCTCCAGTCAAAAAATATCCGTCACTGCTCGGGCAATGACAGCCGGCCAGACAGCTAAAGAACTAAGCTGTATACTTACACTAACAAGTGAGCGATATGGCCCAGGTAGCATGAGATCTCTAATACATGCATTCATTCTAATATTAATCTCTTCGATGTGTTTATGGACCTCCAAATAACCCACTTTTCACTTTTTTTCTTCTTCTTTTTTTCAACAAAGACGTGCTAGACATTTAAATGCACAGCACTTCTCTCTTTCCAGCAAGGTGTATCTATGGGCATCCATATAACCTACTTTTCACAATCTTTAAAAAAATTATTTTTTTTTAAACAGGATTTGGTCCTGCCCTTGATGAGTTCTACTTCTTGTAAACCCAGTTTTCCCTCACTGGGAAAAGATTGTAGAGCTATGGCGAATCTTCATTAATCATTATTGATTCAACAAGTCAAACATTTATTTTGATGTCTTTTCTTCGCCTCGTTCTGTCTGCCTGCCGGTCTATCTTTCTGTCTGTCTGTCTGTCTGTCTGTCTGTCAGTCTGTCTGTCTGTCTGTCTGTCTGTCTGTCTGTCTTTCTTTCTCTCTCTCTCTCTCTTTCTCTTTCTCGCTCTCTCTCTCTCACTCGCTCTCTCTCTCTCGCTCTCTCTCTCGCTCTCTCTCGCTCTCTCTCTTGCTCTCTCTCGCTCTCTCTCTCTCTCGCTCTCTCTCCCTCTCGCTCTCTTTCCCTCTCGCTCTCTCTCGCTCTCTCTCTC